CCCCTTTCATTACCCATTTGAGTTTTGCTGATGATATTCTCATCTTCTTTGATGGTACTGAGGAGTCTTTGCGCAGAATACTCTCGATATTGGAGGATTTTCGGTTAGCTTCAGGGTTGAGTATCAGTCTTGCAAAGTCGGAGGTGATGATAGATGGAGGATGTCCGAATAGATGTTAGGCTCTTGCTACAGCAGTGAGAATTATACAGGGAGCTCTGCCAATCAGATATCTTGGTGTGCCATTGTCCTCGAAAAAGCTGACAAAATCAGATTTTCAACCACTTCTCGATAAGGTTGTAGACATGATTAACTCTTGGAGAGCTAGACATTTGTCTTTTGCAGGGAGATTGCAGCTGATTCAGTCAGTCATTTACTCTTCAATTGCGTTTTGGGCATAAATATTTATATTACTAAAAAACAGTATTGAGGAGCTGGAAAGGATGAGCAATGGGTATCTTTGGAGAGGTTCGCCAACCTCAGCTCGAGGATCGAGAGTCTCCTGGGAATCTGTTTGTTCCTCAAAAAAATCAGGAGGATTGGGGCTTAGACATTTGGAGGACTGGAATAAGATGATGGGTTTAAAATTAATTTGGTTGATTTTTGCAGCTGGTGGTTCTATCTGGGTCTCGTGGGTCCGGAGACATATGATTGGTGAGCAAAATTTCTAGTTACTATATGCCACAAATGGAAGTTGGATTTGGAAGAATTTGTGCAAGTTACGGTCCTTGGCTCGGTCCTTTGTCTACTGCGATGTGGCCTTGGGGATCACTGCTAGTTTTTGGTGTGACGATTGGACTTCCTTAGGTCCTCTTATTGAGCTTACGGGTCCTCAAGAGTTTCTGGTGACTGGTTTACAGAGTGATGCTGTTGTGGCTGATATTATTAGAGAAAATGGTTGGTGGGTAGTTGTCTCAAGAAGTAGGCATCCAATCATTCTCTTGCTAAGAAGTTGTCTCCTTGACTTTGGTCCTATTGCGAGTTCAGAAGATGATGATAAGTATCTTTGGAGGCAAAATAATGGTGAACCCAAAGAAAGATTCTCCGCATCTGAGACACGGAGAACTATGTACCCCGGAAGGTGCTCCGGTGTATTGGCATGAACAAGTTTGGTTTAAGGGGCGAGTTCTAAAGCATGCTTTTATGACTTGGATGACGGTTAGAGATAGATTAGTGACTCGAGATAGATTACGTTCATGGGGTTTGCAAGTGCCTTCGGATTACGTCTTGTGTAAATGAACTGATGAAACGCGTCAACATCTCTCTTTTTTTATTGTAGATTTGCATCGGAGATTTGGTCTTTCTTCTGCTCAAGGCTCCATCTCTCTCCCCCGACTGACTTTGAGGCAGGGATGAGATGGCTGAAAGACCCAATTCAAGATACCAATAAGAGACTCATCATCAGCCTACTCTATCAAGCATCGATGTATTATGTGTGGAAGGAACGAAATGCTCGTTTACATACTGGTGTTGTTAGACAGGCTCATGGTATTATCTTGGATATAAAGCATTTAATTCAATTCAGGCTAGATCCTCTTGCGATATCGCAATGAACTAATCTTGGGTCTTCTCTTTTGTCTACTTGGTTTGCAACCTTTTAATAGTATTTGTTCTTAGTTTTTTAATTCCTGCATATTATAGAGGGTGACCTAATTTTTCGTCCCATCGTTGGGAGACCTTTTGTATTGGGCTTCGACCTTTTGTAATGGGCTTCAGCCTTTTCAGAAATATATCTTATATAATGAAGGAGACTTTTGTCCCTTCTCCCGCTGCCACGTCATCATCTAGCATGGGGCATTTTAAAACACGTGGCAATCTCCCTTAACATGAAACAATGTTTTATCGATGGGCTTCTGTTGTTAAATGTGACTTTTTAGGCCAACAAATACATTTTCAAACTGGCCCATGATTATTTAGTGTATTCTTTCAAAGATGAAGAACGACGTTTCTCTTTCTGCGTAACCTATTCCCGTTTCCCCTTCTCTTTGATGCGTTTAAGATTCTACACTAATGGTTTTCAATCAACGATGCTTCATTATATGCTCTTCAATGTCTCTTCCTTTTTAATTAGGTACCTCTTTTTACTCCTTACAGGTTATTGAAATCACAAACGTTGTTAGAATCCTCCGAGAATGAGAAATCAACAGCCTCATTTATCTGAGCTCAAGGCTGGTCGATGCAGGCAGAGTATTCTTATCGGCGACCTTTCTATCAGTGAAGCTTAGAATTTCAAGAAACAAGGCGATATGATCTAATTCTTTGCGTTGATGAAAAGGTAACAATAGTTACATAGTTTAATTTTATAGACACTTCCACCTGCAAAAAAATCATACTAGCCGATTACCTAATATTCCTGATAGTTAACTATGATTGAAGCGTCAATTTTTACCGCTCAGTTCCTTAAAAAGCATCCTCGGAGAAGAAGGGCTTTATGAGCTTAGCCTCACTGATGTGAGTAGAAACAATCAACGCTTCCACTTTACTCATGCGCCTGTTCAATTCTCTGGCCATAGGAACTTAGCGTTAACAAAGAGCAGGAACTCAATATTGATGGAGCTATTTCGATTCCGCAGTTACAACCAGTTGACGTCCTTGGCTAATATACAAACTCTGATTTTCCGGTATGTTTCATTGAACACATTGATAACCTCTTATTTCAACTCTTTCAACCTTCTTATGACTTCCTTGACCACCCATAACTCCAAATGTTTAATTCCATATATTATAGGTGAAGTGATTGGAATAAATAAGACTTACAATAAAGAAACACATGCCACTAAATGTGTTATGACAAACATCCACACTCACAGGTCAGACCTTTGTATCCCCTTTATGTTGTTATACTCTCAAAAGTAAATTAATTATTGCTTCCGATCATTTAACTTGGTTGTATTACACTTCTACCACGCAGTTGCAAAACGGTGTGTGTTTGTGTTTTCAATTGTCTTTCAGTGCAACTGCGTGTAAAATTAGCCGCGGCATGTTTTGAGCAAAAGGTCATTGTTGTGACAAAATTAATCCAAAAATGATTAGAGGTATAGCTATGAATACCTGATTCTATACGTTTGCATATATAGTCCTTTACAAAAGCGTTTAACAAGAACCTTTTATTTGCAGTCCGACTCTTCCTAAATTCAACTTCTTGAACACATTTCTACTTCGACAAGGAGAGTAGTGCAGTGCAGGCGTCAGTTACTTGAAAGTGTTAGGATATAGGCATTGCTTCTGACTTTTGAATTGTCAATTTGAAATTGTTTCCACTCACCTTACTCTTTCCTTTACTCAGGACTCACGAGTCAGGATGATGCAGACTAACAACGTGTCGTCCTCTACTTATAAGCAATATGAAGGTGTCAAGAAGATTGAATCAATAAAACTATCGGAGCTGAATGTTTATTTGTTGAGTTCACCCCCGAGATTAGCCTTTATCTTACCACTCTCCTCTAACTCTATTTTAAGTTTCATGTTACTAACTGATACATTTGCAGACAGCATAATTTCCATGCACTAGGTAAGGTTAGTGAACTACATGGTCTCCGTGCAACCACCAAGGTGCCTACTGAGGAGTCCCAAGATGATGATGTTGGACACTCTGCAAAGTAGGCATCCCATGAGAGTCCATGACACCGTTTTAGACTTTTAACAGATCACAATTACTCTATTGTCCTGTTTTTTTATTAAAAAAAAATCGTGACATCAATAAGTTCCAATCCAAGTCTATTGTGCGGTGTTTTTTATTGGATTTGGCTGTTTTAAACTATATATATTATTTAAAAATTGTGTGATGGAATATCTTGAAACACAAGCTTACAAATTCCACCACATCGTATTGAAAAGTTCATATGTTCACTTGGAAATTAAAACACACAGTTTTCGGCCCACTTAACAACAATTAAATCCTGTAAATAATATTTTGAAAAGATACAAACCAGTATCATACATCTCAAACAACGCTCACGATCTGAGAGATAATTTTAATACAACACACCGGAGTTATTTGTACATAACTTATTTTTTTTTAAAAAACTGGCATAACATCGATATTTGGTTCTGTAAAGTATAAACTCTATATCTCTTGGTTTTTCCAGCCTCTTGCAAATTCTAATATTTCTTACTTACACAGCTGTACAAGTCAGCATCAATACAACGCCATAAAAGGTGATGCCGAAACATAACCACTCCTGCTTTGTTTCCAAATAATTTGGTTGAGGGAAGAGGAGGTTAGGACATTAATAACTGATTAGTCCATCACCTTCACAATCTATAATTCTTAGACACAATGTTTTTTTTACAAACACGACAACATAGTTATAAGCCCCTTAACAAATGTTTATTTGTTAAAAGGCAGGTCCACCCATTTTCAAATCTAACGTTTTCAGAAAAAATAGTGTAACTAAAATACAATGACAATAATAACTAAAGAATAAAAATTAATAAAAAAAGAAATAAGTGAATAAGTTTTTAAATCAACATACACTAAAAACAATTAGGACAATGTTGCTACAACAATTAATAAACAAGTAAAAAAACTATAAAAAAATACGCTTCTTGAGAGGTAATAAAAACTAAAAAACAACATAGAAACACCCAAAGTCTACAGTCAATACATTAGCGACTACGATGAACCATGTCACACAACGGTGACAGCATAGCACACACTTAGCCACCCACAAACAAAAAAACCTATCCCACAAAACAAATCAAATGAAATGCCTACAAACTTATGAAACATAAATTGAAACAAGACAAATACTCCGCGCGAAGCGTGGACAAACCACTAGTATATAAGAAAGTTAAAAAAAAAATATATGTGAGAATTAACATGAACATACGACACGTATGAAAGTCATTTCTCATAGATGGGATGCAGCACAAACTACCGAATCAAAGCTTCCTCACGACCACTGGAAGTCATAATTGGGCCCATTTTAAGGCCCGTTAATTTAACCGGTCAAGATTAAAAGAAGACATTTGTTCAGTTGGGTTTTGTCGGAAGAGGACTAATGGCAACCGCGGCGTCTCTTTCCCTGAAACCGCCGGCGAGATTCTTATGCGGCGGAGATCGGCGAAAGAGAACCGCAGCTGGATTCTCAGTCGCACGAGCTTCTCAAGGAAACAAGTTTCATGAGAGCATGGTTCGTCTCTCTGCCTCGACTGTTCTTATCCTCGGTTTAAGCCTCCGCGTCTGCTCTCCGGCCTCCGCTAGATTACCTCCGCCAGTAATCTCTACTCAATCAGTTACACAGAATGAAATCGAGTCAGAAACTGTAGTCGTTGAAGATGAAGAGAGAAGACTGGAAGCAGAGTTCGAAGCGTACAAGGCTAAAGTGTACTCTCTGACCGTACCGCTGAAACTCGCTGCCTTGCGTGGTTCGGTGCCACCTTCATGGATCAAGGTTTTATCTGTCTTCCTTTCCACTGTTATCATTTTGCATCTTAGCTTATAGTTGAAATGTTTCTTGGTTGAGTTTAGGAGTTCATTAGCTCACAAGGGAAGAGAGTGAGGTTAAAGACGAGGTTCTTGGCAAATCTTGAAGACATTTTCTTTGATCTATCGAAGCCTAGTATTAACAAAGGGAAGAAAGGTTCTACTGATATGATCAGCCTTGGTGATTCTTGGCTTAGTTTTGCAATCAAGGAGAAGCTTATTGAGCCGATGAAGGGTGTAGAGGATCAAGACTGGTATAAAGGCTTGAGTGATAAATGGAAGGTGAGAATGTGTTTCATTGTCTCTAAATTATGAATGTTTTTCTTTCGAGGTTCATTTCATGACTTAGAATGTGTCAGGTTTATCTCCGCAGGAACTATGTTGGAGAGCAAGCTCCTGACGGTGAAATGTGGGCTGTTCCATACCGATGGGGCACCATGGTTATAGCATACAAGAAGAGCAAGTTTCAGCAGTATAAATTGGCTCCAGTACAGGTCTGTGTTCGTTTTGGTTGTTGCTTTGCTCATCTATTCAAGAAGATATGAATATCACTGAACATGTTTCTGGATTTAGGACTGGGAGGATCTGTGGCGACCCGAGCTTGCAGGGAGGATCTCAATGGTGAATTCTCCTAGGGAGGTTGTTGGTGCTGTACTCAAATACATGGGAGCATCATACAACACCACAGACCTGGATTCACAAGTTACGGGTGGAAGAATCGCTGTGGAGAAGAACCTGGCATCGCTTATGAAACAGGTCTTTAC